ACACCTGAGAAGATAGCTGGTACAATTGGTGGGGAAAATGGCACACAATATCATTGGCCCACAGAAGTTCTTCCATGATCCAGGGATAACAACCAGCAAGTCTTTCCAGGTGGCGTTGTGGAGAAAATCAGATAAAGCCTGTTATGTATGAAATATGATTACTTATGCTTTTGCAAAATCTAAAGATCTTCTTTAAAGAGCAAACTCTGGTAACTTTATTTATTGGGTAAAAATCACCTAAGTTCGGACACTATCACGTACGGTGTCCCGAAAAAACGCCCACTGAAGAAATGCCCACAGTAAAAACGCCCACAAGAAAAAATGCCCACATGCATATCTCTTGCGGCTTCTTTTTTTATTTGTAAAAACGAATGCAGTTTAATTTTCCAAACGTGATATATAACCATTGAATACATTAAATATATCACATCTATCAACGTAATAAAACAGAAATATGAAGAAAATTCCCAAGATTCCNTCCAGTTCTGAGAGCATGTTGTTCCGCTCGATATAGAGTCTTTGATTCGCAAGTCGTTGCTCGTTGATATTCAGCTCTGAGTAAGATTGATTCCAGAGCTCGAGCATTTTCTTCCGGTACGCTCCTGGCGCATCGGATCGTGCTTGATAGTAAACCCGCATGACGTCAATATTCATGGATTTTGTCCACTTCATACGTTTCCGTGCGGGGGGCATATTTTCTGTAGCAGAGGAGGGTCGACTGTCAACCCCGGCCCCTGGGACAGAGCTTTCACCAGTAGCCCTTACTCCCACTTCTGCCTGGTGAGGAACAGGAACGTGAGAGCCTCCGGACGCCAACTTTTCACTGACTGCACCGGGAGACCTGCAGCCAGCGCGGCCCTTTTTATCCTGGGCGACGGCCGAGCCAGTATGAATTTTTCTTAGTTGTGGCATCATCATGTTTCCATGAGTGTGAGGACCTGGCAGGTGAGGCGCATGCGCCACATCCACCTTTTGCACTGGGTGCACATGGTGATCCTCTGATCCATGGGGCACCACGGCCGTTGGACTGTCGAGAGTCTCATCCGCCCTTCATCGGTGAAGTGCCCAGCACCGCCTTAGGCAAGCAGCTCGATCTTCCCATGTCACCCATCCAGGTTGTGCCCATGCTGACGCTGTTTAACTTGGTGATCGAAGGGGCTCCGATTCAAGCGCTGCGCCACGCTGCTGCCTTATATATATTTACATATTTCACAATGAATTTTTTTTTTGGGGGGGGGGTCTTTGAAAAGCAATGGTGTATAAAATACAGATTTTATGACATTTGGCATCGTTGGGAAGAATACGCACTCAACATATGCAAATCGTTTATGTATATCAAAAACAAAACCGGTCCAAGGACCTCGCTCTGAGGGACGCCGCATGCGACCCAGACGCTGGACTCTGGACGCTTCACTACTTACCATCAATGGGCGCTACTTTTCTTCATCCACATCCGGCGACTAAACTTGACCGTCTCGTATTCCTCTCTGAGAGCATCAACAGGAACCAAATTTGGCATACTTCTTCCTCTCTCATCCCAGAATCGCTCCAGCAAATTTGAAGCTGCATTTCCTCGGGGTTGTGGAGATCACTGAATCTCGTTTTTGGGAGATGTGAATTTCGTTCTGGAATTTCCCCCTCCCCACCATTGAGTGAGGAGGGACTCTCTGAGAATCCCGCCTATAGGACCATTCAAGATGAACCAGCGCCTCCAGCCCAACATTTCCTTTCTCTGCCAAATGTAGCCGCAGGTGAATTGTACGACATAATGACTACGTGGCTCGGTAACTGGCGCCTAGACTGGAAACTCTAACGGTGAAGGACGAAGGGAGGCCATAAAAAAAAAAGAGGGGGGACCAAACGGAGAGGACCCTTCAAAAACCTCCTTTCAGACCAACCAAACGAAAGATATTGACCTGGAGGTGACACAAAGTGTCCTTTTGTTGCTTCCTGTGCACCATTTCGCCATGAAAAATGAAATTAGATGCCGTTAATTTAGGCTTAGCGTTGGAGGAAAGAGACCAACCAAACGAAAGATATTGACCTGGAGGTGACACAAAGTGTCCTTTTGTTGCTTCCTGTGCACCATTTCGCCATGAAAAATGAAATTAGATGCCGTTAATTTAGGCTTAGCGAGATGGCTCCAGTCCCGTCCTCCAGTGTTGCCGGATATCGTGCCTTAGTTATCCCAGATTCATGACTTCATCGGCCTTTGTATCGTTGTCTGGATCTTCTCTTTTTAATGTAAGAGACATTAATGTGCTGAATTCATAGGACGAGCTGAGACTGAAGCGGTGGTTTGCAGTGGCCGATGGATTTGGTGAAAAAGGGTTTTCACATTCCTACATTACTTATTCCTCTCTACCCGTGAACCAGTTAGGGATCCACTCGCTCCTCCTCCCCTGGATACCGTTCGCCTCCAGTTTCACGCGCAACCTCTTGTGAGGAACGGTATCGAAAGTTTTCGGGAAATCTAAATTGACGATATCCACGGGATTCCACTCATCCCTCTCTTCCATCGTCCGATCGTAAAATTTGAATAAGTTTGCTTGATGTTCCACGTGATCGCGCCGTGGTCCGAATCTCCAAAGTTATGCTGTATCTTAACGTCAAGTACCAGATCGTCAGTTCGTCGCGAAAACTAAATCCCATAAAGCTTCCTCGCGAGTCGGTTCTTCCAAGAGCCGAACGAGAAGAGCATCCTGAACCGCAACGAGAAATTCCCTATCCCATTCGATTTCCCCTCGCGGCACCGACCAATCAACGTTAGGCATGTTAAAGTCTCTGAAGAGGAATACGTGCTTCTAAGTCTTGTTGATCCTACGCATCGGTGCAAAATAAGCCGCTTCATCCTCACGAGAAGAGTTAAGGGGGCCTATAGCGAATTCCTAGCACGATCTTCCCGGTTGCCCCGTCGACCTCGCACCATAAGTGTTCGATTGCGCCACAGTTGACCGAGGTGCGATTTTCTCTGACGCAAACGCCCAGTTCAGATCTACCATACAACATGACTCCTCTCCCCTTTCTGCGGAACCTATCCTACCGCAAGTTATCGTATCCTTGAATCTCTAATTCCTCATCGAAATGTGCCGCGCCACCAGGCAGCAGGCAACTTTCAGCGACCGGACTTTGCTTGTTTTAGCAGCTAGCTCTTGCTTGGGTTGCCAAAAGTCTCTAAAGAAAATCTATAAACTGTAGAATTGTGCAAATGACCCGTACTGCTTGCATGAGCAGTACCCAGGAATCGTACCTTTCTTATATGTGAAGATGCGAATGCTCTTTCCATATCAAATTGCAAGGCTCCAGAATGAATATTCACAGAGAAAACTTGCAAAGCTCTCCAATTTCAATAGCGGCTATGGAATCATACTAATCGTCCCAAAACGGCCTCTTTGAAGGATTCTATCGATGAAACGTGATTTCAAAACTCCTAAACATGTGTAGAAAAATCAAGAAGAGTTTCAATGTTATGGGAAAAATCAATACAGAGAAATTAAATTCCGTTGCAAAAGCGAGTTCCACCCAGAAGAAAGTACCCACGCAGCCTGTCACCGACGAGGTGAAAAATTGCCTTTTAAGATATTAGTTTCAAATAGTTAAGAGGGTTAATAAATTCCTTAAAATTCAATGGGAAAGTGCTGCCTTAGAATTTTTTCGAGGCCGGGCCTCGCTCTCGCGGAAAATGCATTCATCGGAAAAATACACAGCTTCTTCTTAGCTTGAGCCCTTATTAAGTAAAATGCTGGACGCACAATGGAGCAGTCGTGGAGTGAGGGAGGGGGGGGGGGGGGGAGGGGTCAGGGGGCCTGAACCCCTCCCCCCCCAAGTCCCCGCTCATGAGAGCGAGATCAATAAGGGGCGAATGTGAGAATGAAGAAGCGACCTGCACATGTGATATTGCACATGAATATTTTCCTGAAAACGGAAGGACGATGACTCGGATGAATGTCATGAACAATGCAAAGGTTAACAAATATCTAGTTGCGTTAATGTGCAGTGAAATCTGGTTCGAATCCTAAAATTAATTCCGTTCATTTTTAGCTTCGATTCAGATATCGAATGTGCTTGTATGGACTTCACCATGTCATACAACTTTCATTCGTTTCATTTCTTGCATTTCGGAGACATTTGAAGGAGAGGTCATAAGAAATATCCCCAACATTAGAACTAGTTGCGCTACAGTGGAAACAATTAATTAAATAACAGTTCTAATTCATGTTTCGATAATATTAAATTTATCCGTCAGTGCAATAAACACATTCATATTACTTTAAAATAGGCAAGGAGAAGTACTTATCGGACGTCCCACTTTCGCAACAGAGAAATCTGGTGACCTTACCCAGGAGGGGATGCCCGGGAGAGGGGGTGGGAGCAGGATGAAAGAAAACAGAATGAAAATCCCATATTCAAAAAGCAAGAAGAGAGTGTTCTCCGCGACCCCAGGAAATAGGAGATAAAAATTAGCTGGAGCGATTCTACGTTGTGAGTAAGAAACGAGCCCAATTTCGTTCCTCTATATGCTCTTAAAGAGGAATATAAGGGAGTTGAATTTCTTGACGGAAATAGGTTGAAGAAAGGGAATAGGTCCTATTGATTCTTGTCTCTCAATAAGTAGGGGACTTTGACCCTAACGACTTTAGCGACCTTTCGCACCTTTAGCGACCTTTCGCACGAGATCCACGACCCAGAGCGAGATAACACCTCCAGTCTGCGGTCCATAACGAGCGAAAAACAAGCCACATGAAGTGCATGCAGACGATCGTTTGCTCACTTGAATCATTCCCTCCTCGAGGGAAGTAAGCAGACGACGGATGGCGAAGGGACGGTCATTCCATGACGTCACACGGCGCTGAACGGTACATTCCACCTATCCATGCGAGCCATTTGGACCTGCGGTCAAGGCCATTTCGTCCCCTTGGACGCTACAAGGGTAGGGTGGAGGCAGGGGGAAAGGGAAAGCCGTGTTACATCAGGACCCGTGACGTAACGTCACTATGCTAATGGCACTTGCCGTCGAGAGTTGGATGAAGCGATATGACCCCAGAGATCCCATTCCGAGCTGCAAGGCGAGAGTGATCAGGACACTCGAGATGAGTCCGCTGTGGTTATATCGGCTGTACCTACGGAAGGGGGTCTTACCGGCGCTGATCAGGTGCTCCGTGTTCCTTTATAACTTGGTGGGATGGGTCGTCATCCTCTGTGTCTTTTCCGTGCCGTATCTTCTGTTTCTTTCGTACCGCTTGGGGGTGTGTTTGTGGTTGAGATGCCGACACCGGGGAGAAGTGAAACTGATGGATGCGTCGGATGGAGTATTTGCTCTGCGTTCCGTCGATCGACCTAACTCCAAGGCCATTGTTGTCAGTTGGATCGCCGTCGACGGGTGCGTTGACATCCTCAACTTGAAGGAGAGGATTCGGAAGCGTATTCAGGAAGATAGATGGTTTCAAAAATTAACTTTCTCTTCCCAATTCCGTCTCGGTTATTTGATATGGAAAAAGGACAAATGTTTCTCCGTCGATCATCACGTGAAGCTGATTGCAGAACCGGAAAAGGCGAGCCTCGAGGATTTGTTAGAAGAGTTGCAATGCCGGGATTTTGAAGTGGATCGGTCTCCCTGGGAAATTCTGGTATTGCTGAGCGGAGAAAAGACGACTTTGATCATCAGATGGCATCACTGCCTAGCCGACGGACCTGGCATGATCAATGGATTGTCGAGACTCATCTTGGACGAGAATCCCACTTCTCCAATTCGCAAAATCCCGAAGAGAATGGCACCGAATCTCAAAACATTATATGCATTCCTCAAAAGCATCTTCTACCTCCCCACAATCTTGCCGTGGTTATTTCTCATCCCAGATGGAAATCGTCTTTCGGTGACCAATCCGACCAAGAGGAAGAGAGTTTTCTTTTCGGATCCGATGCCCTCAGACCCATTGAAGAGGACGGCTAAGAAGTTGGCTTGCACTATCAATGACATCTTCATATCTTGCGTGGTCCAGGGATATAAAAAGACGCTGTTAAGGCCCACAGATACTTTATCGGTGGGAATTCCCGTTTCCCTGCATAGGGATTCGCCCCAGATCTGCAATCGCCTGAGCGTTGTCCGAGCCCCGTTACCGGTGGCTTTCGACGGCGAAGCCCGAATCCACGAAATCCGGAAGATGACTCGCTGTCTGAAAGCATCGCCTGACATCCTCTGTGGTTATGCCATGCACCACATCCTGTCCAACGTGCTGCCCTCGTGGGTGTCGAAATTAATCGGGTGGGCGAAGGTAGCCGGTTGCGTGAGTAACGTGGCTTCCCTCGTGCCTTCCAATGCCCGGATTCAAGATCATCTAGTCTCCTCACTTTGTGGGTTCGCACCACCGCTGCTGGACATTGGTGATTCACTTTCATCTCCTTTTGCCAATTTCATCCCGGCTCGATTTCCTCTCGTCTTAAAATCTTCAGGATAGATTATGAGCGAAAATTGACGGCGGTCAATGAGAAACGAGACCGATGTATCGATCTGTTTCAGGCATGGCCATTTCGTTGGTGAGCATAGGGACCAGCTATCATTTCGCCATCATGGCCGACCAGAGCGCTTTCAAGAAATCGGAAGATGCGAGGATTTTCCTGGGGACCATGGTCAACCATGTCGATGTCCTCTCGTCTGCTGCAGGAACCTCCCGAGAGAAAAATAATCCTTCGGCCCCTTCGTTCAGCTGCATCGTTCCTATTATCGAATACGGTATGGAACCCGAGATGATGGAAATGGAATCCCTGCGAAGCCCCTAAGGAGGACGCCCGAAGGCACTTTGAAGGCGCAGCGATTAAGGCAGTGGATTCTCTTCATATTATGTCATTATTTGATATCAATGAAATAGAGGCATTATTCTTGTATGCATCCGATTCCTCATCACTAGATGCTTCACTAGCACGAGGACATGCAAAAGTAAAAGATGCTGGATGAGAAAAAAAAGAGTTTGGCAAAAGGACTGCTAATTATCGCTTTGACGCTCTCCCCGAAGACCGGATAGGCCTACCCGGTCTTCGGTGACGAAGTATGGGATTTTGAAAATTGATTAATGCCACCTATTCCGTCTTTGAGAAGAAATCGTCTTTACTTTCATTGCACTTAATAACGAGAGGGTGCATTTTCAGTTTCCCATGCAGTTAGGCCCGGGGTTACATGGGGCTAAGGAAATTCCGTCACGCCTAAGGATGGACCTCTCTAAAGGGTCAATAGCTATCAAGCCCGATTTAAGATTGTAAGGCGTGATAATCGACCCAGTCGGTGGTCTTTCATGGCATCCGAATCCCAAACACATTGACCATGAATTCCGTGCGCCTCCGTGAATCCCATGCCTCATCGTCTTCTTGACGCCATCAATAATGGCCGCCAGCCCTTCAAATCGGCGTGAGATCTTCGACCGCCATGCAGTCGAGGTATATCTACCTTGTCTCTGCATGACATACATGCGTGCAGCCATCATCTTAATTTAGGGATGTCCGGATGAGATATTTCCGTATAACACTAAATTCGACGGCCACTGCACACCACCGCTTCAATCTCAGCTCATCTCATGGATTCAGCATAATAATGTCTCCTATATTAAAAAGAGGAGATGCAGACAACGATTCCAAGGTCGAAGAAGTCACGAATATGGGATAACGAACGCACGATATCCGGCAACACTGGAGGACGGGATTGGAGCCATCGAGCCTAAATTAACGGCATCTAATTTCATTTCTCATGGCAAAATGAGGCACTGGAAGCAACAAAAGGACACTTTGTGTCACCTCCAGGTCAATATCTTTCGTTTGGTTGGTCTCTTTCCTCCAAAAACTTCCCAGGAGAGGCTAACCAGGGGGGAGAAAAAAAAATTCTGGAACGAAATTCACATCCCTCAAAAGCAAGATTTAGTGATCTCCACAACCCCGGGGAGATGGAGCTTCAAATTTGCTGGAGCGATTCTGTGTAGAGAGAGGAAGAAGTATGCCAATTTTCGTTCCTGTTGATTCTCTCAGAGAGGAATACGAGACGGTTGAATTTTGTCGCCGGAAGGGGTTGAAGTAAGGTAATGAGCGTTACCGCGCCCATTGATTACGTTTAAGAAAATGTTTGCTTCTTTCTCTTCCAAGAACTGTAAAATAGAAGCAAACTGGAAAAAGAACATGTCAGTTTAATTTAGTGATTTGGAAATTCACGCTCCACTTCACCCTTCATAGTAAGCGAAACCAGCGAGGTTCAGAATCGAAAATCCCATATCTCGGGATATTCAATTGAATCACGGCACCGGAACGGAGGGATACGTCGGCACGATAATGGCTGCATTCCGTTTGAAGGCTAATTGAATCGGACGGAATTTCCAGCACAACATTGCAGGGAGAACGATAACGTCAAGCAAGCGCTGCTGCAATTCCTCAAGCCCTGGAATCACATCTCAAAGAGGCAGCTCAGGAAATGGGGATTGAAACACAAGCCCACTCTTGATAACGAGTTGCGCGGGTGTCTATCCCCAAGGAGGCCCACTGTTAGGTCTTTTGTTATATTAGATCGGGGACTTTCTTATCTTACTCCCCCCCCCTTGGAAACTCATTCCTGATTAAATCAAGGGATCTTGCTGTCCAGACCAGAAACCAATTGGAATTTAAGCCATAAACACCTCTTATCGGCTTCCCTTGAGAAAAACACAGACTGTAGATTGAGCCGGCGGTCTCGAAATAAGAAATAAGTTGGAGATCCAGGTCCCATGGCTCAGAATGCGTTTTTTTTTTGTCCTATGAATATGTTCTCGTGCAGGTTCAGGTGGGGGTTTAGAAGAAAGCAAGTATTGGAAAAGAACATCCTCGTTCAAAACGGGAAAATACCTCCGAAGAAATAGAATATTTTCCGTGTCTGTGGATCCGCGGGGAACGGGCTCAGAGCATCGCGAAACGGGACAGCAAAAAGTGGGGCACGATTGCAAAAGATCGGGACGACATGGCTTTTCCCCTACAAGTCCCGCTATCTATCTAGCTGTTCGTCCCCGACACAAAGATATTTCAGGGGTTTATGAATATGGATGACTTGTCCGAAGGTCACCGCTGATGACACTGTCGCAGTGTCGACACTGAAATGTTGCGTAGAATGCTTCTCCGAGTCACGTATTCTTAGATAGGAATATATGACAGGCACCTTAGGGCTTACAACATCAATATATATATATTTTTTTTAGGAAAATAACTTTTGACAGACTTTTTTCTTTAAATTTTTTCTCTTCATTCGTATGACATGTTTCGTGACGTAGGAAGTGATGCGGCACATGACGTCCTAACTCTAAATTCGACGCGGTCTGTCATGGTAAATGTGAATCTCCCTAGGCATAATAATATCGAATGTCGTCTGAGAAATATCCCAAAAGGAAACATAAAAAGTTCCAAGGAAATCTCAGGGTTAAAAAAAAAATCAGTTTTCCTGATTCCAAAATGCATGCAAAAAGTATCAGCAGTGACAACAACATGTATCAGCAACGGATATGATGCGAATATTTCGAAACGATTCCCACTGATCTCCAGGTTTATAGAAATTAAATTGTAAAGCTACTCCCTATTCGGTGAGAACTTCGGTTCATATATGGATTTTTAAAAATTAATTTTTATGCCATTAAATTTCAACATAACCTTCTGCATTTTCCACCTCATACGCAACGCCACATTCTCAACAGAGCGCAAAAGAAAGTCCTGTGGGACATTATTGAACACTTCACGTATCTTTCCTTCTCGTCGTTCCAAATCACGTGGGTTCGTAGCATGCGCTTTCTCTTTGACCCATCTCCATAAGGGAGGGGGGGACAAAATTCCTAACCTCACGAGCAGCATAACAAAATCTTCATCTTACGAGAGCCACAAGACACACTACTACACACATGCATTCTCTAGACTAGAGAATGCATGTGTAGAGTCTGCAGCGTTTCGCCGCGAGCCACACTTGATTTGTCCGCCCCATGCGGCTAGTGAGCCTGGGTTTGGCTACCCCTGTCGTAAGGAAAATTCACAAGGGTTTCTGGCTGGTCACTTCGTTGGTCCTATTTTTCATTTCCCCTCCCCCCAAGCATTTTCCGGAGATAGAGACGTTCCACTGCGCGTCGTATCATTAACGAACCGAACCGAGTTGCAATCAACTCGTTGTGACAGTTTTTCCGATTGAGATTCGCATGATTCCCTCTTTCCTTCCGCCACCGTCTCTGAGCCTCCAAACTTCCGAACCTAAAATTTCGACGCAATTTTCGCGTGGTCATTGACGGTCAGCCTCTGAGCCATGTTTGGGTAACGATGGAACTAGTTTTATTCAATCTGAAAATGCAAATTTAAGGCATAACATATTCTTTCGAACGACACGAAAATTAATTCGAAATTATATTAGGACAAGATTTGCGGAATTTAGTGAGGCTTCGAATTTCCATTCAAAATCCCACGATATGTCGCAAAAAAAAACAAATAAACATGCATATTTTTTTACATTGCGGTAATTGTATTCCAGACAATCATTTACCTTCACTTAAACATTTATGAAAACATTTATGGGATTGCCAAGAAGTCCGTCCAACTCGAAAATTGCCTTTCATAGAATGCAACGAATATCTGGCTATTATTATTTTCCTGGGGTATAGTTGGTATATACCTCGTATAAGAGTTTCTTGAGGGCAAGAATTTAACATCTGATCTTCGCAATTCACGTACTATGAACGGTAGACTAACACGAAGTTCCAAGTGACAGAAGAAGGTACCAAACAGTCTCTTGCACTATGTTTTATCGCTTCCAACAAATAACGGCTAATTTGCAATCACCGATCATCCAACACATCAAACCACATCCCTTGTAATTTATTCCGAGCCTGAAATTGGTTCGTAGTATTGCCACTCGCCTCGGGTCATGAATGAAAAGAGTGAGAGGGCGGACCCGTAGGACCTAGCGCACAGCCCCCTCGCCCTCGCCCGCAGCCCAAGAGGGGGAGTCTGAGGGGCAAGGAAACAATCTCCTACGGGTACAAATGCTTCGACCCGAGATTCTTTTTTCAGGGAGGGTACTGAGGCCCTTAATAGCAAGTGAAGGGACAAGTGAAGTCACGTCGACATTTTGACAATGTAATGAATTCAAACGAAGATTTCAAGGAAAAAATCGATGAATAAAAAAAAAAAAAAAGAGCGACGAGAATGACAAGGGCAAAACTGGTATGGAACACAGGTCAGGGACCCTGCTGAATATTGCATGACGAACAAATGGAGCTGGCAACGCGACCCCCAGGGATCCCACTCCCCGCTGGGAAGTGAAAGCGTCCTGGTCGCCCTCGAGATGGGTCCGCTGTGGTTGTATAAGCAGCTTTCTCAGAAGGGGGTCCTGCCGGAACTGATCAGATGCTCCGTGTTCGTTTATAACTTGGTGGGGTGGGTCGTCATCCTCTGTATCTTTGCCGTGCCGTACCTCCCGTTT